CTGCCTGTCAGCTCTGAGAGGCATGTAAATTTAAAGGGGCAATATTATGTGTTTCTCAGGCATACATTTAAATACTATACTATAATAAAGTATCTATGTCATCTTTAGCTGTTATTAAAATGTTGTTTTTATGTTTAAATAGAAAATAAACTTATCTTCTCATCACTTCCTCTGCTACACGCCTTGAAATTGGCCTCTGTCTCTTTAAGAACCTCCTCCTGCTTCTGTCCCGTCCCGTCACCCGTCGGTGCATGTTTGTTATATTAAATCTGTTATTGGAATTTCAGGTGTTAAACAATAAACTAACAGGTTTAAAGCAAACTTGCAAAAAACTTTTGAATGAGAATTATAAGCCCACTACTCAAATCAAAGCTCACTTTAATATCTAAATCATCATTAAATGCCTGAACAAGTTTCAGCAAGGTGAGCTCTGCTCTTAATCTTTCAGTAAGTTCTAATTTTAAATAACAAATTAGTCAAACCAATTAACAAAAACACTCTTTAAACAAATATATGCTTAAAGTTAAACTCTGCTTTTAGTCCTCAGTCTTTCTTTTTACTGCATATTTTTAAACGTATTGTCTAAATTCATTTATACACAATCCAGTCTTCATATTTTATTACTGACAGGTAAAGCGAGTTACACTGCTCATCTTGTTGTAAAAAGTTATGATGGGATGTAATTTTGTCACTTACCTAAATATTTTTGCACACAGCTCACCTGTAAATAAAGCTTGGAACAGCACAGGTATTGTGAAAAAGATTCTGAGACATTGATGAATCATTAAAATATCCCATTTTGATCATATAGATGAAACCGTACTACACTCAGGTGCAAAGTCTCTAATGTATCAGGACCAAATACTGTTATCCAGACTAATTTTAACCAGAGTTCTGACACTCCTCAAACTGTCAGCAACTAATTCTTAGTTATTGATTTAGTTAATTAGACCTTAATTTTAGCAGGGGAAAAAACTACAGTAGCTCAAAGCAGCACTAAAATATAACATACACTAATACCAATCCAGCTAGYGCAATAAAATATTTATGAAGTTGCTAAAGCACCCAATAAAGCATGGATGCTACTGAATACATCGCTGTATCATCAGCATAAAAGTGGAAGTTGGTGTTTATGATTGTAGGAACACCATTATCTAGTTTATCAATGTATTAAAATAAAACTTACAAATTTATGTTGTCTCAAAATKCAGTCTCATCATGGGTTTTGTGAGCAAAGGCAGAGAGAAGTTACTGCTGAAGAAAAAACAAAGAGGCACATTCTTGCTACGCTTCAGTGAAAGTGTTGTCGGTGGGATCACCTTCTCCTGGGTGGATATCACCCACACTGGTGAGATATTTAATTTTAATGACGACTTAAGGAAATACTTTCAAGTAGTTGCTACAATGCAAAAATACAAATATTCACTTATTTTGCATATTTTAGGTGAGCCTGACATAAAGACGGTCCAACCCTTCACCAAAACTGACCTCTCCCAGATACCATTCCATGAAATCATCAGGAATTTCCAGATCTTAGAAGCTGGCAATGTGCCTGAAAATCCTCTTCTTTACCTGTACCCCAACACTCCAAAGGACCAGGCTTTTGGAAAGTACTACTCTGAGAAAACTGGAGGTACCATCTCTACATGTCATGACACAAATGTTTTCTACTCCGTAAAAAAAAACACACAAAAAAAAACAACTTTTAATCACGTCTGAACCTATTCTCTTCCAGATGACAGTCCTTATTTAAAATACATCAAAACGAAGCTGGTGTTTGTTTCAAAAGAGTAAGTTCATTTCTTGGTCGATTTGTCCTAATTGTTTGAATTGAAAATAGTGATATTAAAAAAAAAAAACAAAGGACAGCCCATTTAGTTACAAAACACATACACTCTATCTAAATAGATTACCCACACCGTATGGTTGTAATGGCTGTTTGTTATTGGTCATATAGGAATACACCGGAGGCTAGGTCACCCATGTCCTGTGACATGGCACACGGTGAAGGCCTGGAGCCAAACAATGACCCGTGTGGAGAGGCAGCGGGTGAGTCATGCCTCTCCTTGCTGTCCCGTCCAGCTAAAACCCTCACAAATCACACCCCATCATCACTGAGCTCGCTCGGACTCTGTCTCTAGTTTAAACTTGTGGTGATGATGACTAAATTACCTTTTGAATGTCTGAATGATGCGTCATGGGAATGTTGGCCACTTCTGCTGCATGAACATGTTCTGCTTATCTGCTGAGCTCATAAAATCTTTTTCATTGTGAAGGTTTTGGGGTTGTTTGGGTAGATTACTGACACCTTTATTTCACTTGACAACATTTTGTTTCTTCTTTCTGATGTTTTCCTGAAAATGAAAAATGCATTTCATCGTAATCAAACAATCTGCAGTAACAATGAGAAAAATCAAAGATAATTTGGCTGTATTTTCTAAAGTGGTTTAATCTGTTATGATATTAGCTATCCATCTTATATTGATTACATTTCAAACTAATTATGCTTCTTTTTTCCATCTAGTACATATTAAGCTTCATGGAATTTAGATCCCTGTGTCATTGTAGTGAAAGCCAGATTTTATAGTAGCAGTTTAAAGATTGAACTTTTTAGGTGTAAAAAAACCACACATCATTTGTTGTTGGTTTGAATTGACAGTGGTTGTTCAGCTCACCAGCAGTCGATTTTGCCGTAGGTCGAACTGACAATCTTTAGCAATTATCAAGCTGTATCCAGAAAAATCTTGCAATGTGACTGCTGCTGAAACAAATGTCTTTTTCCCAGCCATCTAGACATCCACAGATGGCATGGTTTCCTCTTCCTGCCCCCGCTTTTTTAAGAGTCTGAATTTATTAATAAGAGCTGCAGCGCCAGTGGTTACTTTTCATTTATTGTTGGGCTGAAATCTCATTCAGAAATTTGTTAGTGACAAATCTGCTGAGGCAAGAAATGCTAAAATGGTTTGTCATCTATTAAATTAAATTAATATTAAACATTTGTTTTGATCTGGCTAGAGACAGCAAAGTAGAAATAAACTTAAACTGGATGGAACTGGTTTAAAAGAAAAAAACAATTTACTGTTTGTGTTTGCAAAAGGAAAGAAAAAGGAGGGTACAAATTAACAATACTAATTAACATTAACAATTGTTCACAAAAGGCAATATAGTAAAACAAAAAAATCAAGCCAAACAATTAATGCTAGGAAGTATTGAACCAAAAGTTTGATGCAACAGCCTACGGTACTATAAACTTGAATGACAAACTACAAAGTAGAAATAAAATTAACCTTTATAAAAGACCAATAATCGAAGATAAATGCTTTTAGCCAGTAACAAAAACAACAGGTTTCCACAAGTAGGACTTCTGGCCTGTCTTCAGAAACTTACAAGTACACTTTACCAATCAGCTCAAGACAAACCACCAATAACTAGACCTGACAAAATATCAGATTGATTTAATAAACAACAGATAAGAAGCTAATTTAAACACTTTAACAAGACACTCAAACATAGCAGGCCATGTCATTGGTTTTCAGGCCCTTGTTTACACTACGCTGGGAAATTATTAATTTAAACATATTTTTAATCTACATATACTTCTTGTCTGCGCATTGCATGTGTAATACCTTTACAGGGCCAGTAGATGGTGAGAGCGTCCACATTAACAGCATATCAAAATACAGAGAAAGAACAAGCTTAGCCTGCCTAAAGATTTTCACAACCCCCTGATACAGTTCAGTTTCCTCTGTTATTAATTCAGCACATGATCAAAGATTAATGGTGACTTCTGCTGGAATAACTGATGTAAATTTGACTACAGTGTAAAAAGTTATGAAATGGCATTTACATGAACTGCAATGAAATTATGGAGAGAGGAGTTTTAATAAGGCATTAATACGTCCATAAGCTGTTGGCTCATCAGTCCAGTTAGAATAAAACCTCTACTTTTCCAAACTCAGTTGTTTTAAAAACTGTCTACAACAGGTATGATATTATTTGTTAAAACCTGAAACTCCACTTTCAAATATCTATTAGAATTAATAGAAATATAAATTGTCAAAATAATGAGCTTTAAATTTGCTGTTTGGCAGTTTATTGATGTAACTTTCCGTCTACTCGACCTTCGTAAATAATATCATGTTTGGGAGACATAAATACTCTCATCAAACGTGCGCTGATGTCACACATGGATTATGATGTCATATCTCCCAAAATCCCAAAAGCTGTAACATTATTTTTTTTTAGGAAGTTGTTTATTCAGGTTCTTGTTCTGTGTTAAGGCCCTGCCACTATAACGTTTTAGACAACTTATGCCAATTTATGATTTTTTAATATTAAAATAAAAAGTAAATTACTTTATTAAGTTATGTATTTAGTCAATTTGTTAGCATTATTATGTACATGGCTAAAAGAGGCTTTCAGATTGTKTTTTTAATTCCATCTTCAACATAGATGTCTTTAAAATGTTCATAAGTTGACAGAAGTTGTCTAAAATGTTATCGTGTGACAGCGCTTTTACTTAAACTAATGAAGTTAAATCTAAAACCCAAACAAACCAATGCATGTTATGAATGTGTTGAATGAAATCAACTTTTTTGGGCTTTCACAGTGGTTCACCTTTTCTTTTTTTGTGCTTCCGATCAAATCACCATTTTTTCACTTTCATTTCCTCTTTAAAACCAGCACTGTGGTTAAAAAAGTACCCACGACAGTAAAACTGAACAAAAATTTCTACTTTCTCTTTTCCATTTCTTTGCTCACAGAACAAGAAGTGGAACCTCAACTTCTGCAGCTACAGATGGAGACRTATCTCCATGATCCCATGCTGAGTGGCTTAGATGAACACCAAGAGAACGACTTACTGATGTGTCTCCACAACACCTTCAACAACCTTGAGGAAACTGATTTGTACCAAGAAGAATCAGAACCGTTTGATTTAAATTTTATGGGAACAAACTTCCCTGCTCCTCAGTCCATTTTCCATTAGAGGTGCTTTCATTTAGCCAAAGCAGTGTGCATCACTTTTTGTCTCCTTTAATCACAGTTAATTACAGCAAAATAATAAAAAAAAAATACAAAAACAAACTATGTATAGGCAACAAACAAAAACTTTGTGCTTTGCTATTAGTTTTCTGCATCCTTGAGCAACCTAGCAGCTTGTCTCATAACCACTGAAGTGGATGTTAAATGAAGAAAATATAAATCACTCAACAACTCACTGCCRGTTTAACCTGTTGTTACCCCACTTAGAGGAAGATTAAAAAAACTGACCACTGTGTGAAAGTACTGTATAAAGCACTTTACACCACAAATGATATGGCACTTAAAATATTGTCCTGGTGTTTATTTGATCCCTTTTTTTATTAAACGTTCCCTCCCCGAGTATGTGAAGAAATAACATGACTTCAATTGTGTTAAATGTTCTTAAATAAAATAAATTATCATTAATCAAGTGAACAGGTACTGTATTTGTTWATCACTGTGGTAAACTGCAGTAAGTATGCGATGTTCTTATTTTTTTCTTCTTACCTTTTGTAACCTTCCACGTATTTGTTCCTCATAAATTAAATTTTTATGGTCACACCCTCATTCCTCTGATACTGCTCCCCTGAGGGCTTTCCTTCTGCTGCCTTCTGCTTAAGTTTATTTTATTTTTTTGCTTTCATATGATGAAAGTTCTAGTAAAAAGTAGTTCTGTTTCTTCTTATTCCTAAGACGTTCCTTGCTTGAGCTCTGTTCTGAATACAGCGGGTAAAATAAGTATTGAACACGTCATCATTTTTCTCAGTAAATATATTACTAGAGGTGCTAATGACATGAAATTTTCACCAGATGTTGGT